TCACTTGTCTGTGGAGTTGAAGATGATGGAGTTTTATGTTATTAAAACAATTTTAGAGTAACCAAAATCGAATTTATGTAATCCATTAACCTCTTAGAGATACAAGGAGATCATTGAGAACTGTATGAAAGTTTTAATTTTCCATGCTACTAATTCCCATGAACTATTATCACAAATAGGTTTTTCCCGTTTCATGCCAAATATTTTGTCACGACTCGAGATGAAAACGAAGAGACCGTATTATAATAGAGCATCTAAATCGTTTTGAAGTTCGACATGCATTTTTTAAAATTTTGAAACCAATATTCGAATGAATATTTTGAAAGAAAAATTTGTAAATGAAAAATCTCAATATAAGAATAAGAAAGGTTTGAAAAAATATAAGATTCAGGTTTGTGCATTTCGTCTCCTTTTGTCAGTATATTTGACAAAATGAGGTTTTTGAGCATCGTGGAGAATTTCAACACAGCCATGACTTCTCGAAAAATAACTGACTGTTATTGGTACATAGTCTTGTATTTATTGTCTACAATTAACGATTCTTTACGTCATATACAAATCAGATAATCGTAGCTTTTTGTTTTGCCTATCGACAATCATCCTAATCATTCAATGCTCAACGATGTTCATTTGATTACAAAAGACTTGAAAAACTTGCATTTAATTTTTTCAATTTGATATGTTGGTGCTGGACTGAATTAATCCTTAATAAGATACCTGAGAAGATTCAAAATCTGGTGGATCCTGATGCAAATTAAGTTTCGAGGATTCACAGATTCCTCTAATCTTAGTAAGTGTCATTCAAAGAATTGAGATATGCAAGGTGCAGATTGATGTGAGTTTTAAATAAGCTCATCAAACACCAGTGAAATAATATAAAGAAATATTCTACTCAATTTCATGAAGTAATCGAACGTACAGTCAGTTCAAAGCACAATTAAAACCAGAAACTGAAATAGGACTTGAGAAATATGAATTGTAAAGTATCAAGAAAGAACAACTATAGGATTATCAAATATAATTCGCAATTTGACAAATTATAAGCGCCAACATAAAATGCATAAAAAAATCCAAGGAAAAATGGATTTTCTGTTGGTTATTGACCTATATATGATCCAAAAAAATTTCGTAGACTGTTTGCCGAAATCCATTTAGAATACTTCTTTACATGAAACATGTCATAGTTATTATAGACATGCATCAATAAATCGCAATAAGATAGAGAAAAAGATATTGTCTTCTCCATTGATATCTATCATTTGTGCTTCAAGTTTAATTTTCACCGAAGATAAAAGGCATTGTGGTATTTTAAAATTTTTTTTTAATCTTTAATGCATTGAACAGTTTATTGTTACACCAAGAAGTAGCTAAAATTTTGTATTCGAGCATATTTTCTTCAGTTCCGCTTTTCTATACGTTGATGCCGAATAGTCCAGAATGCTTTTTCTCGGCAGATCAGATTCTTCTAAAGAGCTCATTCTGACATATGAACTCGAATCTTATTTATTGACACTAAGTAGCAGATATGTATACGAAGCTCTTTTCTTCTACAACATAGTCCTTGTAAACTCATTACAAAAGAAAAACTCTATTTATTATTTGTCTTTAATTTTATCCATCTTACTTTCGTTATAGATACCAGAAAAATTATATTCAATACTGTGCATATATTTCAGCATTCATCAACGCAACGATAATTAAAAAACATGAGTAAAGATATTGAATTGCCAGTTCGACGTCAGAACTGTCGACTGGTTATACCCGATAGTGAAGAACAAGAAGCACTTGGTCATATTATCGGCTATGCTGAAGAACCAATTGTTCCGCTCGACAAAGCATGTACACCGTTGATTCCAATTATCTGTAACATATTACATTATGTTTCCATTGCTCTGGAGCACACTCCAGATAATCCATCAGATGGTCTGACTCGCGATGAATCAGCTGCAATTTGTCTCTACACGATCGAGTGGAATGACGATAAGAGAAGTCTTTATTCCATTCTCAACGAAACACTTAGAACTGCTGACCTCGAACACTTACGACCTTGGTTCAAATATTTGAAACTTTTCCTCACTGTCTTGATCAAAATACCATGTGCATCTCAGCAGACGGTTTGGCGTGGGATTCGAAAAGATCTTAGTCTTGAATTTCCGAAGGGAAGTTCATTGATCTGGTGGAGTTTCTCATCTGGCCAAAAACACTTCCTGTGTTAGAGAATAATCTCTATCTGGGTTATGAAGGTCCGAGAACTCTTTTCTCTGTCGAGACCTTCAGTGCTAAGAATCTACAAGATCATTCATACTTTCGCAACGAGGACGAACTGTTATTGCTCCCAGGAACATACATGGAAGTGCAATCACAATTCAATCCAGCGCCTGATCTCCACATAATTCATTTAAAACAGATGATACCATACAATATGTTACTCGAGCCGCCATTTGAAGGTATGATGAAAAGCTAAAATATAAGAAACTATAGTATAGTTGTTGCAAAAGTTACGATCTGATACTGTTAATGGATTTAAAACGTTAGGATTTTGCGGCTTCATTCAAGTGTCATTATCAACTCTCTAACACAGCGAATAGCTATTTACCAAACTCATAAACAATTTACATGTTATCTGTATGTTTATGTCGGGGGTTTTCTATTATTTTATTATGAAATACCTAGGTTCCGTACAAATTGTGTTAGTGTCTTTTATTTTCGAAATATTTTCCTAAGCTGTGTTTTGTCTGTTGCTCAATCACATACTCTATCTTGTGGCTCGATACGTGTAAGCGACCTATGAATGTAAGTTATGTTCATGAGATATTTATCGGTCTCTATTGGAAGTTCAGGTAACGCAAAACTCATATTTCGGAGTAAGGGTGTGGGTGTGGGTGGTGTGGGTGTGGGTGGGTGCGGGTGTGTGGGTGTGGGCGTGTGGGTGTGGGTGGGTGTGGTGTGGGTGTGAGTACGTTAAGAGAAGACCCACACCCTCAGAAAGTGGTTTTTCCTAAAACTTGATTTCTATTAGTTACTGCTGAACTAATAGGATTTCGATGCAAGCGAAACTCAGATTCGAGTTCTCCGTCCTAGAAAACCCCGATCTATCATCTCTGTGATCGGAAGACGGTGTGGGTGGGTGTGGGGTGTGGGTGCGGGGTGTGGGTGTGGGTGTGGGTATTCTCTTAACGTACTCACACCCACACCCGCACCCACCCACACCCTTAATTAAACCTCATACAGATCGTTCACTTGGTGATTGTTCTTTTCTTAATACTTGCTTTCATATGGTAAGATAATAATTAAAATTCAATTTAATTTCTAATGTTTTCTTTTCTTTTTTTTTGCCTATAGGAAACATGTAAATATATTCATTATCAAATAGATAAAACTGATTTTACATCATCATCAAATAATAATAAAACAAAACGTCATTTACCAATTGTTGAACGAATTAGTCCTGGTTCATTACCACCACAATGGGTTCAATGTGATTTACGTCAATTTGATATGTCAGTACTTGGAAAATTTTCTGTTATTATGGCTGATCCACCTTGGGATATTCATATGGAATTACCATATGGAACTATGGCTGATGAAGAAATGAGAAGACTCGCTATACCATCATTACAAGATGATGGTTATATTTTTTTATGGATAATTTTATTTATATAAACAAAAAAAACAATACGATTTTCTTTTGTTTGCTTTTTAGGTAACTGGTCGTGCAATGGAACTTGGTAAGAATACATTGTTTTTTTGTTGGCTTTTTTTCTTTTTCTTCACTTTCGCGGGGGTAACCCCTCTGAAATACAATGTGACACGATCTCAAGTGTCACTTGTGTTAGATGACAAACAAAAAGAAAAGATAATATTCAGTCTGGGCTGCGATTCGACCTATATTTCGTATTATTCCTACATTTTTGAAAGAGTCCTGTTTTTGTCCTATATTTCCATAAAAATTCCTATTTTTCCTATATTTTATCGAAAAAAGAAGAAAATTTTCGAAAAAATGTAAGTTTTGTTTTTGTTCTAGTAGTGTTCAGACGTTCAACAACATATACAGTGTGTGGTCACATCTTTTAAACAAACTCTTACATTACGATGACTTATTTAAATAGTGTTGTTTAATACTGAATGCGCTAGTGGTTTTTAGCTTTAACTATTGGTTTTAACTGATTTTCGCGTTTTATATTCCATCAGCATAAGCTTTCCGATTGACAATGTTTTTCGAAAATTGATTAAGAAAAACAAAACACAATTGAAATTTATCTTTAGAATTTGGAAAATTAGACTTATATTGTATTCAATTAGTGCCACCTAAAAAGGATTTTTTTCAGTTGAAAACAAATCAAATTAAATTAGATCTTTTCTATTTTCTTGCACGAAAAAACAATTAAATCTTTATTAGACGAGGCTGGGCAACAATTTTCGTGGTTTAGTATTTTTGTCCAAATTTTGTGAACTGGGTTCTTTATGATGAGATGAGGACAGAGTTTTTCATCCTATTGTGTTTATGATATTGTAGCACTTATTTGTTGCTGATGTTCCTAGAAAAATAACGTTGGACCTGAATCAAATTCAAGAGAACAAAAGATCCAAGAGATTTTGTAGTAGAGTAAATACGACCCTGAATAAAGATGTATCTTTTTTTAAAGAAATGTTGATTTTGTTATTTGTGACTTTCATACGAATTCACTCTGAATTTAATTCTGTACCGAATGGTATATTAACTAACTGAGAAATTACATTAATATTCTGTTCCCTGACTGTTCTGAAAATGTCAAAATTGAGAAGTTACGAAATCAAGGGAATGTTTAACCAATTCAGCTGAAAACTTCAGGAATGATTACTATCATTGTGTTGAACGTTTGCTGAAAGTTTCACATGGAGGTAACTTCAGCTTCTGATTGTGCCGAATTGTCAAGAAAAAGTTCGTGGTCTTTTAATCATGACAAATAATATTTGTTTTTTTTTCGTTGTATCCTTTCAAACTTATGGTCTCCTTTTTTTCATTATTCATTGATTAGTGAAAAAGGTTCTAAAACTTTAATTAAAGTTCCTAATGATATTTGATTCAACTATTCATATCAGAAGAAATGAATCAGATAAGAATCCTGATGGCGAGTCCCCAGTTCTTGCTTGTTTCATTAGAAAGATATCAAGTGAAGAAGTTAACAATATCAGAAAAATTGAGGAGAAACAATGTATGATAAATCCTATATTTTCGTTATTTTTTATTGAAAATCCTATATTTTAGACAAACTTGATCCTCTAAGGATTCCTTTTTTTTTTAAATCGCAATCGGAGGCCAGTATTCAGCCAGAGAAGAGAACAAGAAAACAAGACTAATGTCCATAGTGTGGAAGAAGTGATTAACAACAAATAGCAATGAAGATATGTACAATGAAGAGTAAAATTGTAATAATGAATGAGTTATTATGACTAGCGAGGAAACGATTAGTAATAGTTAAAAATATAAAAATAAGCGTAACGAACAGTATATGAAACAAAGCAATCATCAATATGAATAAAAGTACGCCCAATAAGAAGAAAGAAAGAGTATGAATAACGACTAGTACCTTCATACACTCCAATCTTCGAAAATTTCCGTTTTTCTCTAGCAAAACTAAACGATTTACACTTTTTTTTTGGTCTATTCAGACCGATCCTTGCTCTCAATCTTGATGAACTCGAGATGTCTCTGTCAATTTAAAATACATGTTCTTGTTTTTCAGGACGTGAATGTCTTCGTATATGGGGTTATCAACGATGTGATGAAATTATATGGGTTAAAACAAATTAATTACAACGTATTATTCGTACTGGTCGTACTGGACATTGGCTTAATCATGGTAAAGAACATTGTCTTGTTGGTGTTAAAGGTTCAACTGCTGGAATGAATCGTGGTCTTGATTCCGATGTACTTGTTGCTGAAGTACGTGCAACATCACGTAAACCAGATGAAATCTATGGTATAATCGAACGACTATCACCACGAACACGTAAAGTTGAGTTATTCGGACGACCACATAATGTTCAACCAAATTGGATTACACTTGGTAATCAATTAGATGGTGTTCGTTTAATTGAACCTGATGTTGTTCGAAGATTTCGACAAAGATATCCAAATGGATATAGTATAACAACAGCTAATCAACAACAAGAAATAAAAACATCACTAACAAATCAACAAATAAATTCAAAATAATGAGAAGCAAAAAAAGAAAAGAAACAATTTAGTTTTGTTGTGTATGTACAAATATCTTTTTAATATATATATATAGATTAAAAAAAAAGAAAATCTATTCTATTATTCTTTGTTTTATTTTCGAGTATATTTAAATCATATTTGATATTTATTTTTAGTTATAAATCTTATGATATCAAATGTATTTTTTTTGAGTTATTCTCATTTCTTTGGTAGGAAAAAGAAAAGAAAATAAAAATTGTAAAATTCTATTGACAACACTTTTTATTCTTGACAAAATTATTAGTATAGAAATTTAACAATTAAATTGAATGAAGTAATCGATATTTTTACTTTTTATTTTCTTCGTTCTCTATTAATCTTAGTATATTTGTGAAAAAAAAGGAATTTATATATATATATATATATCTTTTTTTTTTTTTTTTTCTGCATTAGATGTGTCTTATCGACGTATTCACTCTATTATTATCGAATGTAATGTCAGAAGAAAAAACCAACAGAAGAAAAAAGAACAACAATTCGAGAGACAATTATAAATAGAATCACTAATAAAGAACCATAAAAAGAAAAAATTACAGTATATACAGGAGAGTATGTGTGTAACATTGTGCATACATACTGTTTGAAATATTAAAAAAAAAGTAATAAGTATGCATGCTACTACGAAATAGACACATACATTCTCACTCTTATGTAGTGCGACGTGTGCGTAGGAGTTTGTACATCATGTAGAAGAACAAAAACTTTTTTTCTATTCGTTTTATTTTAGATTAGAATATTATTATTTTTTGATTTTTGTGTGAGTTAGAAACTCTCACTTATTTGTATATAACATATTATAAGATTATTGATATTATTAATTTAATCCAAAATTATTAACAAAAAAAAAAAATGGCTCAAGCTGAACCAAATGAAGCTTTTCTTAGACAAGTTTTTCAAAGGTAAATTTATAATTTTCTTTTCAAAAATTTAATATTGTGTAAACTGTTTATCTTCATGTAAAGATTGTTACAAAAAAACACAAGACCGAAGAATGCATAGAAATTTTTAAAATTTATATTTTTCGCAAAATTTTTTATTATGATATAAATGAATGTTTTTTTTTTCAGGGTAGACACTGATCGATCAGGTTCTATATCATCGAATGAACTTCAAGCAGCTTTATCTAATGGTACATGGAGTCCATTTAGTCCTGTAAGATATTTATTCTATTTAAATAAAAGATAATATTTGTAATTGGATTTTTTTTGTGTAGGAGACCGTTCGAATGATGATAGGTAAGTTGTAAATACCAGGAATGTCTTATTTCAATATATATTAAAATTAGAAAAAAAAAAAAACAACAAAATATTGTCTGTTATGCTAAATTATTGTTTTAAAAGTATTTCGTACTTTTTTTACAAACACTTAAATAGTTTTATTGATCGAAGAAAACAAAAAGATGAATTAACTATATTTGATAAATGAAAATAGATGTTAATTGCACAAATATTCATATCGATAGACATAATCATCGATCTAATGGATTTTGATTTCTTTTCTTTTTTTTTTTCAAGAAGAGAAAATTTTCTTTCAAACTTTATTTATGTTTCTATTTGTTATTATAGGCATGTTCGATCGAGATGGATCATCAACAATTGATTTTGAGGAATTTCGTGATCTTTGGAGATATGTATCAGACTGGGAAAGATGTTTTAGGTTTGTTTTTTTTTTGTTTAATAAAATAAAGAAAATTAATTTATGAATTTAATATTAGAAAATATGATTTGGATGGTAGTGGTACAATTGATAAACATGAACTTAAAACAGCATTGAGTTCATTCGGTATGTTTTCTCGAAATCTCATTTTATGATGTATACTGTTCAATTTATATATCTATATCTTTATTTGAAATAATGAAATTATACATTTATTTAATTCGATTTTAAATTAATCTTCTTTTTTTTTTTCTTTCTATTTTAGGTTTTCGTCTATCAGATCAATTTTATGATTTAGTTATAAGGAAATTTGATCGCACTGGTCGTGGTACAGTAGCATTTGATGATTTTATTCAAGCATGTATTTCAATTCAAACATTAACTAATGCTTTTCGACAATTCGATCGCTATCAAATTGGACAAATAACTATTGGCTATGAAGACTTTTTAACGCTCGTTTTTGAGTTGAAGGGAAATTTGTATCTGCCACAAATTGCAAAACGAACCAATCAGAAGCAGTAAAATATTTAATGCGTTATATTGTGGTTCCACTATAGCGCTATAGCAGTATAAGGGGTACAAGGGGTATATTTTTATAGCACTATAGCACTATAGCGGTATAAGAGGTATATTTTTATACCGCTATAGCGGTATAGTGGCATAGAGGTATAGCAGCATAAAGGGTACAAGGGATATATTTTTATACCGCCATAGCGGTATAGCGATCTAAGGGGTATATTTTTATACCGCTATAGCGGTATAGCGGTATAAGGGGTATATTTTTGTAGCACTATAGCGGTATAAGGGGTATATTTTTATAGCACTATAGCGGTATAAGGGGTATATTTTTATACCGCTATAGCGGTATAGCGGCAGAGAGGTATAGCAGTATAAGGGGTGCAAGGGGTATACAGGTCGATTACGTTATTTTTGCTAGTTTTCTTCAGCTTACTGTATTTCTGCAAAACATAATACGCTTTTGATTTATATATGACTGGATAGAGCATTCATTTCTCTATCGATCGGTATATTTTTTATCTGATTTATCTCTCATCTTGACCAAGAATTTAGAGAAGTTCTCAAAGCCCTCAAAAAATTTTTTTTACGGTGATAACGTTTGTCTCAGGGAAAATGGACCTCAGTATTTTTAAGATTTCTCCTCTATTATCCATGTGACTAAAGTCCTTTTTACTATCAAAAGATAGCGCTTAAAATTCTCTACAAAACTATGTATGACTAGGCCCAAAAACAGTTTTAGATATATTTGAAAAAAGACGAAAACTAAAG